TGAAATCTCCTTTTATTGGTTTGTTTTCCCTTTATACAGTTGACACCCAAATCATAATCTGTGAAGTCAAGAGGGTCGAGAATCCCGTCAGACACAAGTCTCTCAATTCTCCTTTTGGAGATGTGACCTAATCTCTTGTGCCACAACGAGGCAGAATTCTCGTCGTTTAATTTTCGCTTTACACCTCGAGTACTTACATGCAAGGTTTCATTATAAGAAGCAATTTTATCAATTGAATAAAGATTATCGTAACCTGATAAAGAACCGGAACCAACCAATTTTGAATCATGAAACAAACTAAATTTTCCATTTCCAAAAGGACAAGTATAACCAAATTTGTCCAAAACAGAAATAGAAATTAAATTCCGTCTAAAAGACGGTACAATAAATGTCTCAACAAGATCCAAATAAAATCCAGTCTTTAACAATAATCTAAATTTTCCTATTGCCTCTACTTCCATTCTATTGCCGTCGCCAGCATAGATGTATCTTTCACCATCACTTGGTTTTCGGCAACTCAGGCAACCCTGCATAGACATACTGATGTGAGTTGTTGCACCAGAATCTATCCACCATGTATGTCTAGGTACCGAAGTTAAATTAACCTCAGAACAAACCAAATGAAGAAGAGTACCTTTCTTTACACGCCATGCGTGGTAATTGGTGCAATTCTTCTTCTTATGACCTGCAACTCCACAGAAGAAACAACCGCCTTCAGTTGGTTCCTTATGCTGTTTCTTTTGCGGTGCCGTACCTGCAGCTTCCTTATTAATCTTTCTTTTCTTGTTGCTTTTGTCCTTAGAGGTGGTGGCTAAATGAGCACTTTCTGTCTTTTCATGCTTCAGTCTTTCCTCTTCCTGGACACAGTGTGAGATGAGCTCATTAAGGGACCATGAGTCCTTTTGACAGTTATAGCTCACCTTAAATTGACTGAAATGTGTCGGAGGGGATATCAGAACCAAGTACACTAACAAGTCTTCAGATAAATCCAACTTGAGTGCCTTTAGTTTTGAAGCAATGTGAGACATTTCCATAATGTACTCCCGAATGTTTCCTTTCCCTTTATACCTCATTGAGACAAGATTTGCCAAAAGTGTACTTGTTTCAGCCTTTTCATTCTTGGCAAACCTCTTCTCAAGGTCCTCAAGGAAACCCTTAGCCGTAGTCACCTTATCGGACATAGTGCCCCGAAATGCTTCTGGAATAGCACGCTTCATGACCATTAAGCTTATGCGGTTCGATCGTTCCCACTTTTCTATCTCCCTCTTGTCATCAGAGGTACTCTTATCAGTAAGTGCAGCAAGTTGATCGACCCGTAAAGCAAGGTCTAGGTCCATGACTCCGAGAACAATCATAACGTTCTCTTGCCATGACCTGAAGTTTGTGCCATTTAACATTGGAATTGAATTGATGCTAGTAGAAATATTAGCAGCAGAACCTGAAACTAAATTAGAGAACATTTATTATGAATAGCTCACATGAATATCTTTAATATGCAAATAATAATAATAACAATCTCAAATAGTGGTAGGGCCCATCACAAGATACCAAGCACAACATCAATATCTAGTCTTTGGACAGAGATATTGACTTGTAAGCGGTACTCTTGGCGTAGTGATCAAACATTGACGATAAAACAACGTGTCAATCAATAAACATTTCTTTGGACCGATTTATTGATCACACATTAAACCAAATAATCGTCACATGTTTATCACCATAGGTGCACGTGCATTCGGCTGAATATTGACCTTCCTTTGGGTCGACCAATATTCCCATGAATAACACATGCACAAACACTTTTTAACATTCTAAGTTAGTCAATTTTCACAAGAGAGGTTGCTTTGACAACATGTTGCTTCAATTAACTAACTTTCGAATATTATATCTCTTTAAAAGAGTCGTTAATACCAAAATTTGAGAAAGAGAATCACCAATTTTGCATATTTTGATTAGTTTTAAACTTTAGGGGCCTTAGGATTAATAATTCAAAACTTTAAGGGGGCAAAATTAATTAATTTCAAACTTTAGGGGTTGAAATTAATAAACTTGAAACTTTATGGACCATAATTAATTAATTCAATACTTTAGAGGATCAATTAAAACAAAATTTAAAACTTTAGGGGCCAAAATTGACCAATTCAAAACTTTAGGGATCAAATTTTAAAAATTTGAAACTTTAGGGGTCAATTTGAATTAATTATGAACTTAGGGGGCCAATTTGAATTAATAATTAAATTTTGAGGGCTTTAATTATAAATTCAGAACTTTAATGGCCCGAATTAATTAATTTTAAAACCTTAGGGACTGAATTATTAAATCCGAAACTTAAAGGCCCAAATATCAATATAACTTAAAGGTTAGGGACTGAAACCTTAATTTTATGACCCTAACCCTAATTGCAACCAGGGGCCTCAACTTATCTAATTTGCAGGAGAGGCCCCCGCCCGGAGGAGGGGGCGCCGGCGTGGGCAGCAGCGCCAGGCGCTGCTGACGCCGGCGGCAATTCGATTTTTTTTTTTTAATTAAATCTTAATCCGAAACTATAAAAAATTCCAAATTCCAAATCTGAATTTTCTAAACTGAATAAATCCATACGAAAATAATAAAATTATACCGCAAAAATTTTCAAATTTAACAAAACATATAACCAAAAATTGTTAAATCTGAAAATTTCAAAATGTATTGCAAGAACCAAATTAAAACCTTTGATTCTCAATGATTCAACATGAAGAGGCTCTGATACCACTTGTTGGATAATTTAATACTTTAAAATACCGGATTTTTCATGTTAAATCATCGAGAAATATAATAATTAAAGCGGAAGCATACCTGAATCTGACATGGTTAATGCAATATGGATTTCGCGGTATGATCTTCCAAATCTACACGCAGTCTCCTTTCCTCTCTGTGATGGGATGCAGTAGAGAATGAATAATTCGTTTCGTTGCGTGTGATCTGGGGACCATAACCTATTTATATGAGGACGCCCTTTGACCTAATTCGGCCCATCATAGAATTAGGACTTGGGCCCGGTCTCTACACATATGTAAACCCATACTTTAATTGGATACATTAAAATCCAAAACCAAAACCTTATTAGATCACTTTAATCGGACTCAACCGAATTCGATAGCCTATAATTTAACACACAATTATTTACACATACAAGCCCATCTTTAATTAAAAATCCTTACACATTACGTTGGGTGGGAGTAGAATATATACACCTAATTTTTGAAAGAAAAGTGAAATTCATTACACTTTGATTTATGAAATTGAATATTAGAATGTAGGGTTTGAGGTAATTATTCCTTCTAAAATATGGGTGTTGGGCATATAATAATCAGGTATGAGATAAATAAAACTTAATAATAAATATTAGAAAAATCGGATTTTTTTATCTTTGCTTTTGTTCACTTTCTGCTATTCATTTGCCTAATTTCAACTTGATTTTGATTATTTCCTTTTTTTGTAGCTATGATATTCCTAAAATAAAAATTTTATTTCATGTTTCTGTGCACACACATTTATGTAAATTATATACGCATATATATGGGTATATGTTTTCTTGTTGTTATTCCTTTGATTTCATATTTTTATACACATCCATATAGATGTTGGTATGTATATGTCTTATTCATCTTATCCCTTTGGTTTCATGTCTCTATGTATATATATATTCTTGATGTTATTCCTTTGATTTCATATTTCTATACATGTCCATATAGATATATCCTTGTTTGAGTCACATTATTGGAATGAAAATGCATTTTTGAATAGTATATTGATGAAAAATGTGTAGTTAATAAATAAGGAAATGTTTTAGATTTACGTGTAATATTATTTTATTAAAAAATGTGTGGTTGAAATGATATCAAATTACTGTTGAAGAATGTATTTTTTTTTTTTTCAAATAATGTGGCTTAAACAAGGCCATATGTTGGTATGTATATGTTTTATTCATCTTATCCCTTTGGTTTCATGTCCATGTGTATATATATATTCTTGATGTTATCCCTTCATATTAATAAACTATGATAATAATTTAAGTGAATATGAATTTAAAGAATCTTTGCACAAATAAGTAATTCAAAGCCAATTGACTTGTTGCAATGATAAACATATTCGTTGTTATTCATGTAATTGGAAGCTATCAAGTGATCTCCCCCCTTTTTTCTTTCCGGAAATTTTTTCTTCTAGTTTATTTGCTGACTTATATTTTTGTGTATTCATTCATTTTTAGTGTTTCGAAAACTCAAGTACGCTTTGATATGATAGAAATTTGGGACATTAGGCAAGGCTAGAAGAAGACACTCAAATGCCAATGACTGAAGCCTACCGCTCTTGGAGCGCCGTTCCAACGTACTTAATTTTTGACCGCACAGTAGAAAATGTTTGGCTCCGTCCCTACCTGCTTTTTCCCTTTTTTCTCTTCCTCCAATGAAATTCAACCAACTGTTGTTTTTGTAATTTTTCTGTGAAATTTTTCTATACTTGTAGCACAATTGATTTTAGGAACGAATGAATAATTTTTATATCCAAACATATTTTAAATAGGGCTTTTCTTTTTCTTTTTAGTAAACAAAAAGTAAATGCCTTTTGGAAAGTAATTTTCCTTTATTATCAAAATAGATAGCTTACATCAATAAAAATATCGACGGGCCCCTACTTTACCAAACAGAAATTAGTACCTTTGACAGTTCCTTAAATGACAGGCGTAAGGCGTTCCACAGAAGCCAGAAAGTAGAAAAAGTGGCTAATGGTCACAAGATTTAAGGCCCTTTATTGTGAAATAAATAAGCATATAATGACCCCATTTTGAAACCCACGTCCCCATTAACAGCTCAACTGTCCCTTAACTGCCTGCTTCTAATCCTACTCTACCCTTCAGTCCATAATTCATCTTCACTTTTTCTCTAGCAATCTCAGAAAACTCAAACACAATAAGTGAAGATTCCTCAATAAAAATGAAGTGGGGGAGAAAGAAATCTGCATCTTTAATCAGTCGTGTTTTTAGCATTTCTTGGCTCTCCAAATTGAGGGAAAAAGGTGCCAATTCTGAGCCTAATTCAGCAAAGATGAAGCAGAAAGGGAAATGGGATTTACCGTCTCCGAGTTCATTAGCACCTGCTAGTTGCAAACAATGTAGCTTTTGTAGCAGCATGGATTACGACAGTCATTGGAGGCTTTCTTCGTGTGGTGAAGAAAGAATTCAAGGTAGGATGAGCACAGGAGGAATTAATTGTCGTCTGTATGATTCTGATGATGAGATTAAATTCCATACAGAAGGAACTCAGAGCTTCGACGACACAGTTCTGGACATAAAGAGAATGAAAGAAAAGCAACACCAGGTGAGAATTCTAAATGGGGAAACAGAATTTATAGCACCAAGTAGAAAACCTGAGAATGATCGAAATTCAAGAAGCTCAAGTAGAAGGATTTTGAAAGAGAAACTAGCAGAACTAAAAAGAGAGCCTGATAAACCAGAAGAAAAATCATCCATATTAGTAGAGAAAGGTATACTTGGAATAGAACCAGAAATTGTGATCCAGAAGAACGATAAGAATATTCACAAGTCCACAGGTTCTAATGCAAGAAGACAGCACAGATTCTCTTCCCCCAAATCCAATCTAAGCACAATTCAGGAAAACTGTGCCTTTTGGGCTCTGAATTTGGATGAATTTAATGCAACTTCAGAATGTAAAATCAGAACTCTTCAAGAAATGAAGAAAGCAAGAACGAAGTTAAAGATGAAGACAAAGGAGACAACTGCTGAGGTTGACGACAGAACGGTCTTTGATAGCTTTGCTGTGGTGAAGAGTTCTTTTGATCCAAGCAAGGACTTCAGAGATTCAATGATGGACATGATCACAGAGAAAGGAATCAGAAGACCTGAAGAGCTCGAAGAACTCCTGGCTTGTTACCTAACATTGAATTGCGACGAATACCATGATCTCATAATCAAGGTCTTTAAGCAGGTATGGTTCGATCTGAACCCAATGTATGTAGACCCAGTAACACGTAATGATCACTGTTTTGATGATTATTAACTCGACAGCTAAGTACCAGTAATCTTGTTATGGGTTGTAAATACTTCTTTTATAGTATCCGAAGTATTAGATTTTGCAGTAATGTGACAATTCAGTCATAAAGTCGACAAACAATGAAAAGTTTGTACAGAATTGATCTGTTCAGAAGAAGCATCATGCAAATTGTTGGGCAAAAAGATCATTTCCTTGAGCTGTTGGTGTCTCCTATGTTTGGGACATTTTATATTTCTGTGCATGTTCAAAAAATACAGACTTCCTTTTATTTGAAACAGGAAAAAACTATGAATTACAGAAATGATTTTCGTATGAAAACAAGATTAATTCCAGACAAGAATGCAGAAAAAAGCCAGAGACTTATGTGCGTAATCTATTCAATCATTATCATGTGTATTGAACAGTGAAAAGTACCTGAATTTAACACCATAATATGCAAAGAAATTGTAAACTCAGCAAATGAAATCTCTATATATCGAAGAGCGCATCCAACAAAAAAGATTAGCACCCAACCAACTATATCAATTTCTCTCAGCTTATCAAGTTCTCTCAGCCGGAGTAAGATGGCCCAACTGTCATGCAAAGTTATTAACACTTCTCATATTCCACCAGTTTTTCCCATGATCAACTACTTCGTTTTCATTTTTGCTGTCATCCGTGTCTTACCTCTCCAACTGAAATTCGGACACATTATTTGAACCAGGATTTTCCGTAAGAAATTGTTCCCAGAATACATCATTGACACCCGTTCGCATATTGGTAGCCATCCCAACAGGCTGTTCTCCCAAGGAAGGTTGCACCTCAGGAATAATGGCAGGGTCAGGCTCAGAATTCATGTCAATCCAACATGTCTTAGATCCAACATCAAAATTTGGTCGCGTGGACGAAATAATGAGGCTATCTGCACAACCAGGAGATTCATCAAACTCTAATGATGTTTTACGATGCACTAAACCTTCATCAATTTCAAGTATCATGTTCTCCCATAGTCTTAAAGAAGACTCCAGCTTCTCTGACAATTCCTTGTTGAAATTCAAAAGTGTGGTCAAATTTATATTTTCTCTTGAGGAATTATGAGAAGATTCCATATGATTATCTTCCTTGCTGGTTTCATTATACAAGTAACTGGTTCCAGGAGATCTTCTCTTTCTATCATGAATCTCCCTTTGCAGCGTGAGGTTTGAAGTAACAGCAGGTTGGTCCAGTGTTAGAGCCAGGGAGGATAACATATTTTTATGATTTTGTTCTACACGTTGCAAACGTTTTGTCAAACCCTGCAGTGCATTTCGATCCTGTTTATGTCTCTGTACTTCCAAATGAAGTGATTCTCCATCATGTTTTAGCCTCTCAATATCATCCTTATATCCTTCCCTCTCTGATTCAGTTAAAGGGGGTAAAGAAGCCAGATTTACCATGGAATGACTGTGAACAGGCCTGCGTCTACGAATGTTCTTCAAAAGATGGGGCTGACCTCTAACAAAACCCTCGTTTGCAAATTCCCATTGTTCAGGATCAATTTTCCTGAAACCCTGGTAAACGAAAAGAGGCAAACATAGAAAACATCAGTATATAACTTGAAAATGTAAATACATATTTAAAATATATTAAACTCACTAACAAAGAAGAAAATATTTTACATATGTATTGAGCTGCCTAATAAAGCTGGAGAAGTTGTTGTGCTTGAAGAATCTGGGCAGAAGGACCCTTGCAAATTCTGGAGGATTCCAAACAATGAAGCTTTTATTGCTCTGACTCCAGGACACAACAGAGTCGGAGGAATGATCATCAACCATATCATAGGTCTTTTCAAGAAAAGGAGGCAATGAATATGATGAAGCTTCATCCATCATAAATTTATCCAAGTATCCAATCAACAGGACAAAACCAAAATCACTGGCCTAAAACAACCCAAATTATCAAATTAAGCTCCACAATTCACCACCTCAAAATCCTTTTAAATTTAACCAGAGACAGCATTTTCGGCATTCGTATCTTTCTAATACGAACAAAACCTACAATCAATTCCGGACACAAAAAAGTTGTTACATCAACTTTAAAAATTTTTCCTTCTTTTGGCCACTCTCTTTCAAATCCAAGTTATCAATTACTTTGAAATATCCATGTAATACCCCATAATTTTTCCATCTCAGTTCCTCTTAAATATCAATAAACCCCAATTCTTTTTACAATCCAAATTTCAGTCCAAATGGATAAAAAAGTTAATCCGACGCCTCTCAGCATTAATTCCCTGCATTTATATCCAAAAGCATAATAAAAATCAAAATACATATAAAGAAAGGAAATTCACGAATTGCATATCAGAGTCGTTAAAGCATCAACTCCAGTCTTGTCGTCAAGAAAAGCATCAAATGTAACACAACAAAATTCATATCCAGAAAGATCACACGCGCATATTGCAGGAATGAATTTCTTGGAGCTTCTTATTACCTGGGAGAGGAGGAAGAAGAACCCGTCACAAGAATAATTCTCAAATGGCTCAACGGTACGTTGGTTCGTTATTGCAATCCATGTAAAATCCGCATTTCGAGGTGGGGAAAGGCTGGTGTTTTCTAGGGTTTTGACATTTTTCAATTACTGTGTTTGGCTTGGGGGCAAACAACAATCCGCTACATTGTCATAGTCGATGACAGAAAAACATCTACACTTTTGACATTTTTCATTGAAAAATGGAAAAAAAAAATATATATAAAAACACTCATGATTGAGTTGCAACATCAGTCATTTTTTTCCGTTCAGCATTATTCGGCAAACAAATCCTATCCTTCGTTTGTTTCCCATTTTTTATCCATTAAAATAAAAATATGATTATTATTCATTACATCAAATCGTCATATTTGACTTTCTATCTCTTGTGTAGGGTCCATAACGATTATATTTTTCATTCTAATTTTTACATTAATGTATACCAAACGGGACCTAAATCCGTAAAGTAAATTGATTACAATATGCCTTTGATATTCTATTAAACATATCCATCGATGTTTCTCAAATAAATAAATAAATAAAATAAAAATAAAACTATTCAAGCTAATTAAAATGTATTGACCCGATAAATAAATAAATAGAAAAAAAATAATATTGAGCAACATATATTTCACACACTTCTCTTGAGTAATTATGTTGAATCCAATGTTTTTTACTTTTATTATAGAAAATGAATATTTATTATATTGTTATGATCAAGTCTAATAGATTGAACAGTTCGGCACCTTTTTGAATTGCACAATGCTAGTTAATCCCACTGGAATTATAATATCAGTTTATGTGGCGTTAATGTAACATTAAATGATAAGCGAAATTAAATTACTCATTTTTAATTTTATCTTTCATTTAACTTATCACATAGACGAGAATTATTATCCCATGTAATAGCATTCGTCGGATGAACATATCTTGAGGTTCGATGCAACTATAAAATTAACTTTCATTTTGATTTTTCATTAATTTATCTTTTGTGGGGTCAGTGCTTTGTTGGGATTCATTTTCTCCTTATTATTGCGAAGCTTGGGGAGTGCGCAACAGATTTCGACACAGATTATTTATAATATTTACTGAAAATGCTTGTTGTATTCACATCATTATTTTTTATCACGATGGATCCCGCAACCGCTACCCTCTGAATGTGCACTAAGTAAACTTTCAGGCTGACGCAATAGCTTGCAAACCACGCCAGTTAGGTAAACCATACTAGGCAAATCTGGTGCGACAGGTTCAACCAAGAAAGTGTTGGTAGGAGGAATCGAACTCGTGATAAAAAACCTCTGCATTCACATACTCCACCAATTTGACCACCTCATGAGGAGCATTATTTATAAATTTCTTTTACATGCTATAAAATGAATAATAATTGTCAAAATCTCTTCATCACTTGTACAATTGTGTTTATATAATGTGGGTTAATGACAAAAAGAAATTGAGAGTTTTTTTTTTTTTTTTATTTGATTGGTCTCATCACGTCATCTATTGGTAAATAAATTTGTAAGTTGTGTTTACATGTAGCATAATCAAATATTTATATCCAATGCTAATTCAAATAGTATGCATAATACGTGGAAGGGGAAATCAAACATAATAAATGAAATCTCAATGAGGAAGCCCTTGGCGAGACATGACAGCACACAAGCAAGGAAGATTCCTCGCTGTTTTTGTGATGTCTCCGAATTCAATGAGTTGTCGTAGTTATAACGTGTAGGGGGTGGTAACTCTTGTATTGTTGTTCACGAAATTATTTCTTTCGATTTAAAACTACCGCAAGTGTACGATTCGTTAACAAGTAACAAAGTGGATTAAATGAATTCGAATATCGTTCCACAGAGATTGATTAGTTCCATTTTACCTATCGTTGCCTTAACCAAAACTAAATTACTAAAGTGGATGTGAACCTAATTAAAACCCTAATTTTGGAAAGAAAATCCTAATTATGCAATTTTTATGATTGAATTAAATTAAATATGCAAAACAATATTTTTAACACTTTAGAATGAAATCAAATGTTGAGAACGCACGTTGTTGTAATCAATAGAAATTAAACACACTAGGATCACGATTTTCCATGCAATTATCACTTTAAAACCCTAGTTTCACAATATGACAACACACTTCAATTGTGACGAATCAATGTTTCTAAATCTATCCAATACTCTCTCTCGAGATGTAACGAACCTATTTCTACATACCACCGACCTATATTTCTATGACAAGTGCAAATGTAAAATGCATGCGATTTTATGAGCGCTTAAAGATTCACGTAGGGCATAGCGGTATATTTCTATCTCCTATCGGACCCTACGATGATTTATGTCATGTTGAACCTATTCCAATTCTCTCGAATACAAGAATAAATCACACAAACTCACACAATTACGGGCCCTTAATTGCGGAAACAATAATTGCATATAAATCATTCAAATCAATATAAATATGTCTTAATGTCAAATTACAAAACTAGAAAATTAAAGATCAAATTACATGATACATCGATCTCCTAACACATGAAAAATCTAGCATAACATGCTAAAAAGAAGAAAATACAAAAATAGTTGAAAAACGTCATCACCTGAATAAAGTTTCAATCAATTCTTCAATTGGCGCGATATTTTCCACTTGTTCTCTCTTCATTTTCTCCTTCAAAGTCTCTCTTTTTCTTCTAAAAATGGCGTCCCCTTCGTTCTGGTTGAGTTTTCGTTTATATAAGACCCTAAAAAGATTGTTTCCATAAGAGTTTCGACGGAATAAGGAAACTACGGATTTGGCCTACAAAGTGCTCTATGCGACCGCATAGAGGTAAAAGTTTTGTGACATTTGATTCTCGATTTGCCTCTATGCGGCCACATAGAGGGTGGTCGCATAGTGCTACCAACTACGGAAGAAGTTCATTTTGGTTCTTCTACTTGAATCTTTCACTTCTTGACATCTTTTCTTCATTCTTTCCATTTCATCATCCCAAGATATCATCAATTGGCATTTGGCTTAATCAATTTCTCGATTTGTTCATCGGGTCAACTTTTGGATAATTGCACCTTGGTCCCTAAACTTTCACTTTGCGTCATTTTAGTCTTTTTTCACGTCTTTTATCCTGAATTTCACCATGTTCATCAGTGTTCCCTACAATTTATAAATGTAACGAGATTAAGTCACAATTTAATCATTTTGCTCATTATTAAGTCATGTTTGTGACATAAATAAGTGTGCAAAAACACACTTATCAAATCTCACAAACTTGAACTATTGTTTATCCTCAAACAAGATAGTAACTTAATTATGAACAAACATAGCTTAATACCCTACCGTGGCTCAGGATTGGACTAAGTATTTGACTTTATTAAAATTTATCAGTGCAGAAATAACATCAACCTTTACATATTAAATGCATACTTGACGTGTGTGTGTGAATTCATGCCAACATATCAAATTCATGATGGGTTGAGTCCCAACCCCAAGTGGTCAAATGTATCCTTACTCGCTCGAGAGATACACAACCCCCCAAACTCATTCTTTCACTCAATTATCTCAAAATTGTGTTTTAAAATTAGGAGTTTACATAGCTATAGTCCTCACCTTCTCGTAGTTTGGATTAATCTCATTATTACAAGTTGACATTTCAATAAGTGAAGGCTCTTCCAAATTTGATTGCTTCGACACTGAAGATTAAAATATGTTACTTACCTCGCCTCAAAGATATAGTTCCCTCAACCAAATGTCTAAGGGCTTTTCTTCATGTTATTGTCTCTCTTTTATTTTTCTCACTTTTCAAATTTTTTTTTAATATCATCTTCTCATTTGCTTTCTATATAACCCTTTTAGCGAGCTTTGAGCCGATGATTCCCAAACCAGTTTGTTTCAGGGTGCCAGGTTTTAAACCTTTGCAGGCTTATTCACTCAGATTATAAAGGCTCGATCAGATGACTTTTTATTAATCTCTTTCCCTCTTGCTTCCTATATGACCCCTTTATCGAGCTTTGGGCCGGTGACTCCCAGGCCAGTTGACTTTAGGGTACCAGATTTTGAAATATCCTTACAGACTTACTTGTTCGAGTCATAAAGGTATGAAAAGAAGTGTTTTATTCTCACAAATTAATTTTATGCCCTTATTATTCTAGACATTTAGTTTCCAAAACCAACCCCTAATTTAAGATTTTCACCTAATCTTCACCTCACTGGTCTAAACAATCCACACAATAAAATTTCATGCACGGAGCCTTCGCTTCTCTCAATGCTCCCTATAATAGCTCAACCAATTCCAAACTGTCTTAAAGTGATTTACGTGTTAATTCAATAGAGGGTTATCATTCTTTTCTTAATTTATGCTCAAACTTCAATCATTCACCTAACATGTCAAGCATGAATAGCGTGCATAGACAATGTCAAGTATTGCATCACAAGTATTGGTTAATCTATTCAGCACTATATCCAAAGTTTATGAATATCTTTTCCAATAATCTCATCATAGCTGGCAAGGCTATCAAGCCCACACAAGCACATAAAACAAGCAATATAGTAAAATGAAAAACCTATGCGGATTATTATTATTATTATTATTTCATAACACTCAACAAGCACACAAAATGCAACAATTAAGCAAATGTATTGATGGAATATGAATAATACACGATAAATAGATGCCAAAATCTAAATGCCACATTTATATCAAATTATGACACCCCCAAACTTATACATAACATTGTTCTCATTGTTGAAATAAAGTAGAAGTTCAAATACATATAATTGAGGGACAAAATAAACTGAAAGCACAAGAGATGGGATAACTAGTACTCCCCTGATCAGTATGGAGGTGGTCGAAAATCAAGATCTGCAATGCCATATGTGGAGCTGACCTTCTCTTTTCCTGTTGAGGTCTTTTTGGCGACATCCTACAAAAGTGAAAAGTATGTGTATTATATCTTATGGTGATAATTGATAAACTTGGGTGTGCATGAAGGAATTCATGTGACGCACCATTCCCCCAAACTTATTTTAAAGTGCATGTGTACACTGTTGGCGTGTAAGATGCATAAATTATGTCTCAATATATAGTTCATATCTCAAAAATGTGAATCACCAACAAAGTTTAGCTCTAATCATACACTTTGTTCAATTTGACCAACGACTAACTAAAATAAGACTTCAACCTTATGACTCATGCTCAATGCATTGGGACTTGTG